GTACTGGGTGGCGCGGGACGCATGCGGGCACAGCCATTGAGGCAGACGGTGGAGCTCCCCGTGGGGACTCAACGCGCCGCACTGGGTTGCGCGGGACGCATGCGGGCACAGCCACTGAGGCCTTCGGTGGAGTTCCCCATAGGGCCACGAGGCGCCGTACTGGGTGTGGAGCTCCCTATGGGGCCGTTAAAACGCCGTACTGGGTTCCGTGGGACGCATGTGGGCACAGCCACTGGGGCCTTCGGCGGAGCGCCCTATGGGGCCATGAAGCGTGGAAGGAGTGTGCCGAAATTGCTGATTGGTGCGGAGGGCAGAGGCACGGATAGGTGGACGCGGGGCGCTGTCTTTTGAAATCGAGGACCCAACACCACAGGATGGTTGGGAATTAGCCTGGCGAAGGACCCAACCATCTGCAGTTGTGAGTACACGGTTGTGGGTATCGTCTTCGGTGGAGCTCCCTACGGGGCCACGAAACGCATGAGGGGTGTGCCGACATGGGTGGCGGGGACGCATGTGGCACCGCCATTGGGGCCATCGGTGGAACCCTCATTTGGGGCCACGGAACGTGTGAGTGGTGTGCTGACATGGGTTGTGGGGACGCTTGTGGACTGCGCCACTGGGACCCTCGGTGGAGCTCCCGACGGGGCCACGAACGTGCGAGGGGTGTGCCGAAATGGGTGGTGGGGACACATGTGGGCACCGCCACTGGGGCCTTCGGTGGAGCATCCGATGGGGCCACGAACCGTGTGCGGGGTGCGCCGAAATGGGTGGCGGGGACGCATGTGGTCACCGCCATTGGGGCCTTCGGTGGAGCTCCCTGTGGGGCCGCGAAACGTGTGAGGGGTGTGTCAAAATGGGTGGCGGGAACGCATGCGGGCTGCGCCACTGGGGCCTTCAGTGGAGGACCTTCAATGGAGCTCCCTACGGGGCCACGAAACGTGTGAGGAGTGTGCCGGAATTTGTGGCGGGGACGCACGCGGGCTGTGCTACTGGGGCATTCGGTGGATTTCGTATGGGGCCACGAAGCGTGTGAGGGGTGTGTCAACATGGGTGGCGGGGGCGTATTCTCGCTGCGCAACTGGAACCTTCGGCGGAGCTCTCCTGGGGCAACGAAACGTGTGAGGGGTGTGCCGAAATGTGTTGCGGGGACACATGCGGTCTGCGCTTCCTATGGGGCCACGAAACGTGTGAGGGGTGTGCTGGAATTGGTGGCGGGGACGCGTGTGGGCACCGCCACTTGGACCTCCCGTGGGGCTTCCTTTGGGGCCACGGAGCTTGTACGGGGTGTGCCGAAATTTGTGGCGGGAACGCATGCGGGCTGCGCCACTGGGACACTCGGTAGAGCTCCCTACGGGGTCACGAAACGCGTGAGGGGTGTGCCGAAGTTGGTGTCGGAGACGCGTGCGGGCTGCGCTACTGGGGCATTCGGTGGGCTTCCTATGGGGCCACAAAGCGTGTGACGGGTGTCTCAAAATGGGTGGCGGGGGCGCATGCGGGCTGCTCAACTGGGACCTTCGGCGTAACATCTCTGGGGCCACGAAACGCGTGAGCGGTGTGCTGAAATGGGTGGCGGGGACGCACGCGGGCTGCGCCGCTGGGACCTTCGGTGGAGCTCCCTATGCGGCCACGTGTTCCAAAATAGGTGGCAGGGACGCATGCGGGCTGTGCCATTGGGACCTTCGGTGGAGCTCCTATGGGTCCACGAAGCGTGTGAGGGGTGTGCCGACATGGGTGGCGGGGATGGACGCGGGCTGTGCCACTGGGGCCCTCGGTGGAGCGCCCTATGGGGCCACGAAGCGCGTGAGGGGTGTGCCAAAGCGAGACGGGGTGATTGAAGGTGTGAAGGGGGAGGTGGAGGAGAGGAGGAGAAAGGAACGCAGGGCGCTGTCTCTTCAAAACGAGGACCCAACACCACACGATGGTTGGGAACAAGTTCTGCCTCCCTCTGCTTGTGCATGTCGATCTCGTGCTGGCGGGCCGCGCGCTGCTGGCAGGAGCCAATTTCTTCGTTGCAAGACAGGCTGCAGTTGACCTTCTGTTCGAGCTGCATGCTGTTGCGCCTGCTCCTGGTACTCGTTCGTGCCAGTGATTGCCTTGCGCAGTCAGTTGTTGTTCAAGATGCTGTGCCTGTTCGGCGTCTCCGGCTCGCGCCTGTCTCTCGATGCCGGCGATTCTTTGTTGATATTTTTCTTCCGTACCTCGGATGGTGGCCTCCTTCCGTCCTTCTCGGCCTTGTATCTCCACGTGGGCGTTGCGGAGCAGGTTGTCGGAGCTCATCATGGACCTGCGGAGCTGCACATGCTCACTGAAATCATTCAGTCAGTGCGCTTCGATGACGGAGATGTGGTGCTCTGCCTCCTTCATCATGTTGTTGTAGGCGTCCCTCTCAACGGCTGTTTGCTCTGCATGTTGAAGATGTTGTTGCATGGTATTGTGATTCTTCTCGTGGCACTCGAGCTAATGCTGTGCCTTCGTCAGCTCGTTCTCAATGTCCACGATAAATGTCCTCCTCTGTTCCTGCGGGAACAAGTATGTTCCGGAGGTCGATGTTGGCCTTCTTGATACTCTCAAGTTCTTCCTCATTGCCGTGGAGCTTTGCAGTGACTCGTTCTTGGACTAATTTTCGTGGTGTGTTGCCGTCTTGTCGTGAGTGATCATGGCAACGCCGAGCTCCTCCTTTAGCTTGCTTTGGGCTCGCTCGGCTTCGTCGGTAGCGTGCCTTTGCCTTTTCCGCTCGTTCTCCACGTTGGCCTCGATCCCTCGTAGGTGTTGTCGTAGTTTCTGTAGTTCAGCTCTGGTCTCCTCTCTTGCGGCTTCAAGCTCGTTGTTGGTCTTGTCGAGGTTGTCGAACTTTTCCTTGGCCTCTTCCCTGTTGTTCCTGACGTCCTGGACGAAACGTTGGTTGTCCCCCTTGAGTGTTTTCAGGAGGGCGGCGATGTCCTGACCTTCTGTCGATTCCCCAGCCCTGATCTGTCTCGTAGGCGCTGGTGTTGCATTCCTCCTCGGTTGGCCTTCCCTGTGGGATGGTTCCGCCTCGTCGTCGGATGCCCCTGTGTCGTTTTATGCGTCATATCTTGCGTAATTGATCTCTGCTTTGATGTTGCGGATTTCTTTGATCCCCCCTCCATGGTTGCCATGCTCTCGGCGTCAGTGTTCTGAAGCCCAGCGGCGCTGTTTCTCACGATGGCGGCGCCTTCCTTTCGTTGTTCTGCGACCTTGATCTTCTTCACTTTTCTCTGAGCTTGGGGTCGCTTGGTGGTGTTTCCCAGTCGGGCCTTCTCGTAGCGTAGACCTTGTGCGTGGGCATGAGGCATGACGTTGTTGCTGGTCCTGGTGATGTGGTAATTGTCGTATGGTTGGACTCGCGTTGTTTCTTCTTGGCCGGGGTCTCTCCTCCTAGGGGGCCTGCTGCTTAGCCTTGCCGTTATTGTCTTTCTTCTTCTCCTTCTGCGGCCTGTCGTTGTCGTTGATGTGGCCATTGTAGGGCTTGGGGAAACTGCCTTTGTCCTTGCCGTTAGTGCCTTTTTTTCCCAGCGCCTTGGTTCCAGTAGGTGTCGAGATGATGGGTTGCCCATGGTGCCGCCCATTAGTCGATCTTCCACCTGTCCAGTCCCGCGCCGATCGCAGGGGTATTAGGCCGCTTTGGTGGGCCTCTGCTCGGCGTTCGGCTCGATGTTGATCGCCAAGGTGCAGCCAGCGTTGGTGCTTGTGGTGGATGTCGTGGTGGTTGTCGTGCACTGTGGTGTGCGTCAAGTTGTTCACGCGTTTCATGTCGGCTCAGTAGAGCTCGAGCGTCAGCACGCCGTCGACGTCGTCGCCTGTGCCAGGTTGGGCTGCGGGGCCGCTCGTCCCGTAATGTCGTTGTTGCCGATGTGGTTGCAGTCGCAGCCCCATGTCGGTCGCGATGAGAGCTGGCGTCGTGTATCGCGGGCCTGGCGGGCCTGTGAAGGCCACGCAGGCCGCCGCCTGGGGCCCCCTGCGGTGCAAGTGGGGGCGGGATCGGACGATCGCGGCTTTCTTTCCCCCTCCTTCCCCTCCTCTCCCTTCCTCTTCGCCCCTGCTCCCCCTTCTCCTCCGCTGCGGTGGGGGCGTTGGTTAATGAATGTCCCCAGGAAGCGAGCGGCCAGAGCTGCACGGGTGAGGTGCGACCCGTGATTTTTTTCTTTAGCGGGGATGTTGCGACCCGCCCAGTGTGCCAGGGCCACCAGTGGGATTTTTTTCGATGCATGCAAGTCCTCTGACGCGGAGAGATCGAAATGCCCTCGCCGTATTCCCCCCACCCAGTCCGCAGACCCCCAGCCTCTCGGCGCGCTTCCCGGGCATGCGATGTCCTGATTTGTCTCGATGCGCGGTCCCAAGAGGTCCAGACCCTTTCCCTGGGACTGGCTTTTCATCCGGAGCCCTTTCTTGACGTCCCCAGGGCCCTGGAAGGACCCGGAGAGGTCGAAACCGGCTACGGTAGGTTTGCGTCGTGTCGACCAGCGGCGACCCCAGCGCGGGCGTTCAAGGTTGAACGCCGCAGCCGACCCAGAATCGATCGATGTTGAACGATCGGACGTTGCGGCAGCGGCCGATCGTTCAAGGTTGAATGATCCCTGCGGTGTCAAAAACCAACGCTGGGGTCGGCACGACACGAACCTGCCGTGCGAACAACGCGCCCCGAATTTTTTACGACGTGAGCATGCCTGGGTTCATCGACTTCGCGCGGGGGGGGGGCGCCGCGGGCCAGCGGGTGCCTTCCCCAGCTCCTCCTCGGCGCGAGGGTCCCGCCGCCGGGAGGGGCGGCGAGGGGCGCGGAGGGATGGGCGAGGAGAGGGGGGGGGGGGGGGCGAGGAGGGGGGGGAGGAGAGGGGGGGGAGGAGAGGGCGAGGAGGGGGGGGCGAGGAGTGGGGCGAGAGCGAGGGCGAGGGATGGGGGCGAGTGGGAGGGGCGAGGACGAGGACCAGGGCAGCGGCCTCCCCCCCCCCCCTTCGCGCCCCTCCCCGCGCCCTGCCGCGGAGGCCGCGGACGACGGCGGCGCGGCGGGGCGGCCCCCCGCCGTCGGCGAGGGGCGGTCTGCTGTGCACGGCGCGGCCGACCAGCCCGCGCCTGGGCCCGACAGCGAGGAGGACGCGCGGCCGGGCTCGATTTTCGTCCCCCCCCCCCCCCAAACATCGGCTAGACGTAATAGTGACCTTTCGCCGGAGTGACCTTTGGTGCGGGCCCAGTGGGGCCCCCCGATCGCCGAACGCGATGCGATAGTAGCGCCTTGCGCGCCTGTGTTTGGTCCCCCCGCGGCCCCCCAAATGCTGTGCACCAAAGGTCACTCTTACCCAGGGTCACTCCTGCGTGTAGCTGAAAACAGAAGCATCATAGTTCTACATCATCATTATAGCTGGCCTTCCGTCAGAAAGAAGCACCACAGCGTCCACACCACCATAGCTGGCCTGCCGTGAGGAAGGCGCACCACAGCTTCTACACCATCGTGTGCTGGCTTGCCGTCAGAGAGAAGCACCATAGCTTCTGCATCTTCGTAGTTGGCCTAGCGTCAAGCAGGAACACCATAGCTTCTACATCACCGTAGCTGGCCTACAGGCAAAAAGAGCCACCATAGCTTACATGTCATCGTAACTGGCCTACTGTCAGAACGCAGCACCATAGCTTCTACATCATCATCATAGCTGGCCTACCGTCTAACAGAAGCACTAGCTTCTACAGCACCGTAAGTGGCCTACCGTTCGGCAGAAATACCATAGCTTCTACATCTTGATCGCTGGCCTGCCGTCGGACAGAAGCACCATAGCTTCTACATCATCATAGTTGGCCTACCGTCAAAAGAAGCACCATAACTTCTACATCATCGTAGCTGGCCTACCGTCAAAAAGAAACACGATAGCTTCTACATCATCATAGCTGGCCTACCGTCAGAAAGACGTGCCATAGCGTCTACAAAAGGGTAGCTGGCCGACCGTCAGAAAGAGCACCACGGCTTCTACATCATCATCGCTGGCCACCGCTCCCGAACCACCAGACGCCGTAGTAGCACCTGCTGGTCCTGCTGGTCGTCCGTGAGCGGCTCCGCGCGGAATGCCTCGTGGTCGGCATCAGCCAGCAGGCCGCCCGCTGGCGACGAGCTCGACGCGCAGGAGGTGGCCGTCCCTCCCCCGTCCCTCTCGCGGCCGACCCCACTGGCAGGGCGCGCGCAGGGCAACTCTGGGCAGAGAGACGCGCGCACGGCTCGGGCCGCTCCGGTGGCCTGACGCCCCGACGGCGTCGAGGGCAGGAGCAGGCGATGCTCGGCAGGTGGAAGTCGCGAGATGGCACGTGGAGGAACGTTGACTTTGCTTGGTTGCCCCGTTCTGCGATCAGGCCAACGCCTTCGCCTCCGTGCATCGTCGCGCTCTGGATCAGGTGACGGGTGACGCTGCGCCACTGCGACAGCGTCGCTCTCGAGCTTTCCGTTGTCTTCGTGCTGATGCTGGTGATTGGGGCTCCGCTGTCATTGGGCTGCGGTGCCCTTCGGGGTGATGTGGCAGCTCCTGGCAAGTTTGTCAATGTGCTGGGTCCGTACGCGGGCAAGTGGATTTAGAATTCATCGAGCGGAGCAGATCGCTGGTTCTGTCGCGTGCGAGAGCCTGCGACGCAAAAGACCATCGACTTCAGCTACGGCGCGCGCGAACGACGTGTTCCGCGAGGGTCTCTGCGGGGGCGCGAAGGAGGCTGCCGCTCGGACTTGCGAGTGGGGCGCGCAGTGGCGCGCGCGCGTCGGCGCCCTGATAGGGCTGCGCCAGAATGCGTCAACAGAGGGTGCTCTGCCAAGGCCTGCGGGACGTGGGTCCCATCAGTACATGCCGCAGTTTTACAGCAGGCAGGGCGTCGAGCTCGAGGCCCCCTTGAAATTTTGTCTTGGACATCTTGGAGCTTGGCGTTGCTCTGGCGGGATCGGGTCTTGGGGGCTGGGGGAGAGACAGGAAGCCTTCTGTTCCGGGTGGAATGTAATCAGGAAGTTCTGGTCAACTCGCGCTCCCCGAAAGATCAAGGAGGTTGTTTTCGCAGAAAAACAAAGGACAATGGAATGGTAGTGAATACCTATCTATCGGGAGAGAACGCTTGGAAGCCATCAGAACGTGCTGCTGACCATATTGACGGTTCTATTGCTTCTCGTTCTCGGGTGCTGCTGTCGGAGGAAGGGGCGACCAACCATCGTGACAATGATGCCAATATTACCTGCTGTCGTACGCCTAGTTGTTATGGAGTTCGCCGACGGTTGAATATTCCCACTGCGGCTAGTGCCCTGAGATACCGACGAATTTGACGGCTGCTTCCAATAGCGAAGCGTCCTCGTGATCATGCCGCTCTCCTTGGAGTTCCGACTGGTCCTGCACGAGGAGTGGCCCGGCTTGCGAGCCGAGGGCGACCCGCACCGAAGAGTGGCCCGTGGTGGAAGCACCGCGGGGGGGCTTCGGACGGAGGAGGAGGGAGGAGGAGGGAGGAGGAGAGAGGAGGAGGGAGGAGGAGGAGGAGGAGGGAGGAGGAGGAGGAGGAAGGAGGAGGAGGAGGAGGAGAGGAGGAGGAGGAGGAGGAGGAGGAGGAGGGAGGAGGAGGAGGAGGAGAGGAGGAGGAGGAGGAGGAGGAGGAGGAGGAGGAGGAGGAGGAGGAGGAGGAGGGAGGAGGAGGAGGAGCGCCCCGGGCCGCGTCGCTCGAGGGCGCAGGAGGCGCTTCGACAGCGCGGGTGGTCTGCGTCGTTCGCCCCGCCAGGGGGAGCAACGATGGGGCCGGCGCAGAGGCGCGGGGCGGCGGGCTCGACGGGTGCGTTAATCCGCAAGCTGGCAGTACAGTCGGGTCCCTGACGAAGGAGCCCTTTTCGTTGGGGATGGGCTCGGTGTTCTTTGATCGGGGGAACTCAAGACCCGGGTTTGCCAGGACTCGGGTTCGCCATCGTTTTTTGACGACCGCGCCTCGGATTTTGACGAGGAGGAGTTTCGTGGGATGTCTGCAGCGGGAGGCCTCGTCAAAATGCAGGCTCGGCCTCGTCATTTTTTTGACGACCTCGTCGGGGATTTCCGAGTCCCCTGTACCCAGGTCTTACGTCCCTCTGACTTGACTGTTGTGCAATTTACCTCAGGTTCCCCTAAGGTTTTCCATAGGACATCGAAGTTTAGCTTTTGTGAAAAAGGGGGCCTCGTTCCTTCTTTCGGGTTCCTTAGGGCAACGCCCCGACTGTAGCCGCAGAGAAAAGTTGCCGTGGGCATGGGCGGAGAGGCCGGGACAAGGAAGGGCGCACTCGAGACCGCAGCCCTGGTGGCGGGGGGGCACCCGCATCCCAGCGTGGCGCAGCAGACGGGGCGAGATTGCGACGCGAAGAGGAAGGCGCTCAAGGGATCCAAGGACTTCGAGGGGCTGCAGGAGATGAGCCCGTCACGCGAGCGCTGCTGGATTGGCGCAGTGGACGCAGTAGCGAAAGATCGGAGCATTCCTGAGGTGCAGAAGCAGACGCCGTTGCGCTGCCGAACGACGGTGAAGAGTGTCAACGGCCAGGTTCTGACTTGCGCGCAGAAGAAGTGCCCTTGTCGTCGGCGCTGGACACATGATCGTTGACGTATCAATCTGAAGGTGGTGCCAGAACTGAGGGCCGCGCCGTCGGAGGTGATGAGTGCAATCCGATCCAAGCCCAAAACCGAGCTGAAGAGCGGAGCTCCCGCGCGCAACCCGAATGCGCGCGGAGCTAGTGGACATGGTCGATTTGCAGGACTATTCGAAACAGGAGTGAGGCCAGGATGCCAGCCGCTACTGCTGCCGCCGCCTCGGGAGGAGATCCCCGGCCCTTCCTCTCTCGCTCGCAGCCTCGTGTCCTCCGCCGCCTCCCCCTCCCCCTCCCCCTCCTCCTCCTCCTCCTCCTCCTTCTCCTCCTCCTCCTCCTCCTTCTCCTCCTCCTTGTCCTCGTCGTATGTCAGAATGCATGCACGGTATTCGGAGGTTCCCAGAATATTGACAGGGATTTAGGCTGCTGTGTTTGGTCAGGGATCGAAGGTGACTGGTTATCATCGGAGCGTTCCGAAGCCCAGCAGAGGTGTTGCTGCGTGCTTCGTGGCCTCCCGGCGGCTTCTTGGTGCCAGCTCTACGCCGTGATTTTTCGGTGGGGGCTGCCTTCTCGAGAGTCGCGCTGGGGGCCGGCCGTCTTGGGGGGTTTGCTTCCTCGGGCCCGCTTGCACCTCGCGACCTTCGCGCCCGGCATCAGCCTTAGCATGGTATGTGAAAGCTCGACTTGCAAGGGACCCAAAGTCCCAAACCCGGATAGCAGCGCAGTCCAAAGCGCGCGAAACGCATGTAGGAGACGCTTGCAAGGCCGCTGGAAGCTTGCAAACGTGGGAACACATGTGGGGGACGCTTGCCAGGGCGCTGGAGAGTATGCCTGGGGAGCTTGCAAGCTTCCAAAAGTGAGCTTCGAAGGAGCGTCGAGGGAGCTGCGAAGGAGCTCCGGCAAGGCTTCAGGCACGCGAATTGGGAACGAGTAGGAAAACGCTTCTCGGGCCACGCTGGAGGGTCAAGCGACACGCTCTGGGGGTGCCTGCCCGGGAGCCTTGGAGCCGAGCTGGCGTAGCCCCGCTTGCCGGTTTCTTTTCTCACAACCCTCTTAGCTCCCCAAGGAGCTATGCAGGAATGACAATCTAATTTCCCTCTGTGCCCATCCCCCCCTTTGAGTCGAGGGCGTTAAAAACGCCCCACCCTGGTTTACGAGGCGCTGTACGCTGAACCCCTTGTGGGCTGACAGGGTAAACCCTGCATATCGCGCGTGTCGCGCCGCGTCCTGGCGGCTCTCTGGCCTTAGGGGCTCCCAGGGGGTTTACGGACAACGCACTTGTAACCCAGGGTAGGGGCGTTTTTGCATCCCTCAATTGAGAGGGTGAAGCAGCGACCGCCGCCCTCCTCCTCCACCATTCTTTTTCCCTGTGCAGAATTCCTCCCCGTCGCGTTCCTGGGCCAGTCGGGAGGGCGGGCCGGGCGTTTCGCTTGATACTTCTCCTCCGTTGATGATCTTGAGGTGGAAGGCGGGTCGCTTTCAAACTGTCGCTCTCGCTTCAGCGCCGCGCACGGTCGCCATGCAAAATCGCAAGAGGTTCAAGGATTA